TCGCGGAGAACCTAACCGGCTACCCGCCGGGGCGGGGGCAGTCATTCGATGATTTTCCCCCCTTAAAAAAAAAATCCATAAAAATTCACAGCGCCGAAAGCGATTTCGTTTCGCCCGCTTCTCATGCATGAGGGTGCATGAGAAGCGAAACTGTGAAGGAAAAACACTGCGAGGAAACATGGGCTTATAATTTCTAATTATAAGTTTGAAATCGCCAACCCGCATTGAGCAAGCGTGGTGATTAATGATCATACCTTCTTCGTGTGAGAAGAGGCTTTGCTCAGCAGTGGGCATTTATAGGCTGTTGATGATGAAAACAAAATTGTAGTACGCCCTCTGTCTCCACAATGAAATAACAATATTAATATTCTACACAGATCCTCCGTTCAAAATTCGACGAGCTCCGTCATCGTGTAGAGAGCGGCGCGGAACGATTCAACCAGTGCGAAGAACTTGCCAAGAAACTCTTGGCCACTGAGAGCCCGTACATAGGAGATATTGAGAAACGACAGGAGGCACTTGGGTAAGCAATTAATTTGAAATTCAGTTCTTACTGCTGGTCCCCGTTCCCCAAATCCCTAATCCGTTACTTAATCCCCAAATCATTAAACTGTCAAACACCGCGAGGACACCGGTGACCGTGACCTATTCTTCTATAATTGTGTCTATAATGACGGTACTCGACGAGTTAATCCGCAAAACGTTATCCCCTAATTCATTAATCCCCAAAACATAAACCCCAAAACCATTAATCCCCAAAACATTAATCCCTAAATCATTAATCCCCAAACCATTAAACTCCAAGGCTCCAATCCTCAAATCGCCGGCAACACAATCCAATCTAGTGTTACGAGAGTCCATGGGCAACGCTTATTGCTGACCATCAGGTGATCCGTTTGCTCGATTGCCGACCTATACTAGAATTTAGAAGTGAAGCTAGTTGTTCAGTCCAAGATGAATATAATAAACCTTTGGAATCTGGTCCGCAGAGAATGGTGGCAGCGTCTGGTGGAGCAGATGGAGTCCCGCGCGTCCCGGCTGCACGCGGCGGGCGAGATCCACCGCTTCCACCGCGACGTGGGCGAGCTGGCCGAGCGCGCCGCCGACGCCACGGCCGCGCTGGCCGCGCCGCCCCGTCCGCGCGACCTGCGCGCCGCCACCGCCGCCCTGCGCGCGCACGACGCCATGCAGAACGACTTGCTGGCCATCGACGCGCAGATGCAGGCACGCATACCATTCACTAGCATTTTATGTCTTTTCATATCATTTTTCGGCACGAATGGGCCGACTCGACTGGAGTGATACCACGGCCGACGAGAAAACCATAGTGAAGCAACGCTTGCGTTGTGTTACTTCGTGTGAGTGAGGTTACCGCAGTTACCCTCCCCTTCCCCAATCTCCCCAATTCCTGAATCCCCAACGTTCCTCAAACTCCTAATTCTCCAAAAGGCCGGTAACGCACTTGCAACGCCTTTGATGCTCCAGGTGTCCTTGGACGACCTCACCTCACTCACACGATGAAACACAACGCAAGCGTTGCTTCACGTCAGTTTTCTGCTCGGCCGTGGTATCACTCCGGTCGAGCCGGCTCATTCGTGCCGAATCATGGCTCTCCCACACTTAAAATTTCATTGAAAATTATGACATATACTCACAACATATACTCCACGCTTGGCAAACGGCTTGGAGGTTGCACTGCATAAATACGTTACATTGCGTTTTCTAACCATCCTTTCTATCTCCAGGTCCTCCTAGAAGAAGGCAACCGTCTCCAGAAGCTGTACCCTGGCGGCAACGTGCAGCAGATAGAGTTGCAGCAGAAGGCGCTGGAGGACGCCTGGAGCACGCTGCGGCACGCGGCCGACGAGAGGAGACACACGCTGCAGCAGTATCTACAGCTGCACCAGTTTTTGACACAGGTAAAGAGAAATTTTTTGACTGTTTTTGGGGGTATTTTTTGGGGGGCAGTATAAACTTTAACACATACGTAAGTATGGGTTAATATATAAAATAGTATGTATGTACTATTTTTACTCTTTTAGAGTATTTTTTTTGTAGTTTAACCATAGATAATTATGGTAACCATACTACTACTAATAAATATGAATGTTCGTCCCGCAGGTCCGCGACCTAACGTCCTGGTCGGTGTCGCTGCGGTCGTCGATGTCGGGTCCGCTGCGGGTCCGCGACGCCGTGTCGGCCCAGAGCGCGCGCGCCGAGCACGACGCCGTCCGCGCCGAGCTGGACGCCAGGGACGACTCCTTCAGGGATGCTCTCAACATGGGCCGGGAGTTGGCTACACAACATCCTAATGCTGCTGTAAGTATAACTAATTAACTATATAGCTGGTAGTTATATCTTTGAGCCGTTTGGGGTTGAGACGCCAGGTCCGTGGGGTCCGAGTGCGCTTAAATTATTCAAAAACATTTCGAAACGGTCGACACATCTCGTGACCAGAGGGCTGGTCTTTTTCTCGGTCAGAGTTTAAGCATTGCCATACAACGTGGCAATGCTGCCAGCCTTCTGGGTACTTTCCCCACTGACGTCAATGCGGACGAATTTTTTGATGCTTTATGTAAATAGATTTTTTTTTGTTTTTCTTTTAATTAATTTTAATCTTAAGTTGTATTATATTTTATTATTAACTATTTTATTTTAAAGGCGGTTTTATTATGTCGACTTGTAACGAACTATGTAACAAAATCTAAGAATCTGAATTACACATACTTGTAATTGTTGTATCATCGTGAAACTTGACAATTGGGTGGTACTTTCCTTAATTAAAATAAAATTATTTTGACTGTTTAATAAAAAAAACAATCTGCCGAACATAGTACCTCGTCCTTTTTTTTGAAGTAGGTATAAATAAAAATAAAATCACTAACTGATTTTATGACCAATTTAATTTAATATTTTTCTATCCATTTTTTAAGAAATATATAATGCTGTTTGAGTCTAAAATTGTGTCCGGTATATGGTAATTGGCTCACCCCCTATTACATGGGACTCATAATATAAATAATGAAAAGTGGGTGTTACATTGTACAGTGGCAATAAATGCCGTAATATGAACCTCTGCCTACCCCTTTGGGGATGAAAGGCTTGACATTATGTTATCTTACATGCCTTTTTATATATCATTTACTTTTCTACACAGGAAGTAGAAGAAAAATGCGAAGCCCTACTAGAAGAACGCAACCGCTTACACGGCGCCTGGGCAGCCAGACAGGTCGCTCTCGACCAGCTCATTGACCTCCACTGCTTCCTGAGAGACGCCAAGCTCTTACACGATCTGTGTGCTACCCAGGAAGCTACGCTGAGTAAGTGAATTATAAATAACTATGTTTAAAAGTAAACTCTAAACATTAAAAGTCAGCACATCATATCACCAGCCTATAAGTGTCCACTGCTGACCAAAAGCCTCTTCTCACACGGAGAAGGTTTGAGCATTAACCACCACGCTTGCTCAATGCGGGTTAGCGATTACAAACTTATAATTAGAAATTATAAGCCCAGGTTTTTTCACGATGTTTTCCTTCACCGTTTGTCAGTGGTGTCTAAATAATCTTAGAAAGTACATATAACTCGGAAAAAGTCACATTGGTACTTGCCGTTGATAGGTATCGGAGCTGGACTCTCATGCATGAGAACCGGGTCACTACGACACATACTGATCTTAAATACGAGTCCCGTTTTAACATGAAACTAGTAGAGCTTTTCTCAATTCATTCACCTGCGTTAGCCGTTATTTAATATTACTTTAAGAGCTACAAATTAACAAGCATCCGTCCATACTTTGTCCTGTCCACATTTTCAAGTCAAGGCAATAATATTAAAAAATGTGATAAATTTAGAAAAATATTTAACTCTTTAACTGCCTAGTTTGAAATGGTGAAAGTCAAACCTCCACTGGCGTGGCACACATAGGGTTAAATCAATAATTTAACAAAAAAAAAATCAACCCACCCAACCTGGTTTCGCCCGATTGCTTGATCGATTGTAGTGTAAAGCTGCTGTTCACTGTAAACCCCCAGCGTGGCTTGAAACTAGTCTAGTTACCTTCTCGAATAGTTGCGTGCGAACAAATCACTACATCACTACATAGTATAAAACAAAGTCACTATCCGCCGTCTGTCTGTCCCTATGTATGCTTAGATCTTTTAAACTACGCAACGGATTTTGATGCGGTTTTTTATAGATAGTGATTCTTAAGGAAGGTTTATATATATAATACATGCATACTGCACCCGTGCAAGCCGGGGCGGGTCGCTAGTAAATTAATATAATATTGAATTTATTTTCAGGCACTGAAATATCACAAACGAGCAGTGTAGAGGAAGTAGAAAACCAACTAAAGAAGCATGAAGCGTTTGAGAAACTGCTCGCTACACAGGTAAGCTGATTTAAGGGTCTTCTTCTTCTTATAGTGCCTCTTCAATGTTGAAGGTCGGCCGTCAGCTTCTTGTATTTCTCCTTGTCGGTTGTAGATTTAAGGGTATAAACATTTAACATTTAAATGGGGTTTTCAAAAATCCTTACTAATATTATAAATGGGAAAGTGAGTTTGTTTGTTTGTTCCGCTTTCACGCCGTAACTACTAAACCGATTGCTTTGAATTTTTGCAGACGTAAAGTTAGAAGTCTGGATTAAATAATAGGGTACTTTTTATCCCGGAAAAATTGATATTCCCGAGGGAAAACAAAAGTATTGATATAGATGGCGCTGTGTGTATTGGTATATGTCACATAGGCTACTTTTTATCCTTATGTGACGCGAGCGAAGCCGCGGGTATAAGTTAGTACAATATAAAAGAAAGCAACAAGTAAGATGTAATTTTTAGTTTTTATCTCATGTTAAAAATACTGCTTCGTTGGCCGAGTGGTCGCAAGTGCGACTGCCGAACAAGGGGTCTCGGGTTCGATTCCCGGGTCGGGCAAAGTATAACTGGTTTTTTTTTTAATTCTCAGTAGTAGCACGGAGCCTGGAATTTAGCGTACAAAATTCATAGTAAACTGTCGTTTTTGACAGTTCGAAAAAGTATTGAATTTGACTAGTTGGCTAGTACCCAATTATGGCTACAATCGGGGCCTAATGTGTTGGCTAACAAGGTCATTAACAATATACTACATTGGTCCAACGCGCTAGTCCATTGCATTGGCCCAATGTATAGAGCCATTAACCCATGGTATAGAACGTAGATATACGCGAGCCAAAATGTCTACTGTATCTCATACATATGCAGATAAGACTAAGAGGTTAAATAAATAACCATTGCCTGATATATATATAATGAATCTCTTTTCTTTTCGATTCATCCGTAGTATTGAAGCGGTCTAATAATGTCAAAAGATGGCCAATAACATAATTCCATTTTTTTTTGTATTGCTCTGTAATAATAGATTTATTGTTAAAAACATTAACACAATAAATAAACTAAATAAAATTAATATTAACTATTACTAAATGAAAAAATATATACAACTCAAAATATAAGTAACTATGAACTAAAATATTTATATCTTAAATATATAATGAATTCATATATTATAATGTTTTTCTTCCAGGACGAGAAGCTAGCGACCCTGAACAGCCACGGAGACAAGCTGCTGCAGCAGAACCACGTCGAGAGCCAACGGATCGCTGACGAGCTACAACATATCAATGACAGGAGGAAGAAGGTAAAAATTCCATCCAAAGGTTGTCTGGCAGACATCACCATTGTGTGATAAGACCGCCCATTGTACGCATGTTTTTGAGTGTGGGAGAGCCATGCTTCGGCACTGCTGGGCCGGCTCGACCGGAGTGATACCACGGCCGAGCAGAAAACCAACGTGAAGCAACGCTTTTCATTATGTTTCGTTATCTGGAAATTTACGATTTTCATAATGAATTTTCTACCTCTATAATGTTTCTGCTATAAGAAGTTTCACTTGACTATAACAATTACGGGTTGGAGATCGCTGTGTAAAGGTTGAGGTTTATTTAAGTTTATCAGTCCCTAAGTCAGGTATAACATACCCACGTGGAGAGTAGAGGTGGTGATTGGTGACACCTGTATTCTGTCCTCGATCTTACCTATTAATTCGGTAGGACTCAAAAATTATCCTTAAGGGCCGATTTTTCCAACGCCAGGTTATTTTAATTGAGGATTAACTTTGAATATTTGACAATTCTTGTATACTGAAAATTGTCAATTTTTTTATGGCATAAGCCGGTAAACGAGCAGACGGATCACCTGATGGTAAGCAATCGGCGTCGCCCATGTACACACGGAACACCAGGGGTGTTACTAGTGCGTTACCGGCCTTTTGGGGATTAGGAGTTTGAGGATCGTTGGGGATTCAGGGATTGGGGAGATTGGGGAAGGGGAAGGTAATTCGACTTCCAGAAACCTCTCTCACACGACGAAACACAACGCAAGCGTTGCTTCACGTCGGTTTTCTGCTCGTTGGTGGTATCACTCCGGTCGAGCCGGCCCAATCGTGCCTAAACATGGCTCGCCCACACTTAAAAATGTCAGTTTTATTGTACAGTTAAGAATTAACTGATGATTTAAAAATCACCCTTTATTCCTAATTATAAACTTGTCTTTAACAGCTATACGCAGAATCAGCTCGTCGTCGTGCGGCGTTGGTCCGTTCCCGTGCGCGTGCGCAGTTTGCGCGCGACGCGGCCGAGGCGCGGGGCTGGGTCGCCGACAAACTCAACAAACTGGCGGCTGAACATCAACATGGTAAATATTTTTTTTTTTTTTTTAAAAACGTTGCCCCACCCTAGGATTTTCTCCTGTGTCGTGGGTGCGTTTATAAACATACAATATCACATACACATGACACCCAGACCCGGAACAACAATCTGTGGATCACACAAATATATACATCAATAACATCAACAGTCTATAAGTGCCCACTGCTGACCAAAAGCCTTCTCACACGGATAAAGTTCGAGCATTAATCACCACGCTTGCTCAATGCGGGTTGGCGACTTCAAACGTATAATTACAAGTGATAAGCCCAGGTTTCCTCACGATGTTTTCCTTCACCGTTTGTCAGTGGTGTCTAGATAATCTTAGAAAGTACATATAACTCATGAAAAGTCACATTGGTACTTGTTGTTGGCAGGTTTCAAACCTGCGCTCTCATGCATGAGAAGCAGGCGCCTTAAACCGGGCCACCATGACTATATACATATAAAAATATATTATTAGTAACTTTGACACTGTTATCAAGTAATCAAGTATTTATTGCATCCATAACTTACACATACAAGTCGTTAGAAAATACAATAGTGACAATTACGGACCCTGACGGGCACAGCAACATTTAAAATACGGATGATGACAGGGTATGAAAAGTAAAAATCTAATTAGTCCGTCAGTTAGGTAATGAAAAAATATTAGACACGTATTTTTTTTACTTTGTCGTATAATAAAACAAAACTTAGATAGAACGAATCAATGTTTTGGAGTGGGAGGTAGCTACGTCATAGTATAAATCGTACTCAAAAATGACGTCATACGATATTTCAAATCAATATATCTTCGAAACTATTCGTCTCCGTAAAAAAGTAAAAAATACGTGTCTAATGTTTTTAAATAATCTACCAGACGGTCATTGAAATAAAAATTAGTGATCTACCATATTGGTAGGAGAGAGGAAGGGCGTTTTGTTCATAGACTAAATAATATGATCCCTCACCCCCTATTACATGGAACTCATATCTGGTCAGAAGGGTGCTCTAAGAGAGGTGAGACGTAGCTAGATTTTATGTTAGGGCATTCTCTTCGTATAATATCTTCTGATTCATTTCGTTGCGGGATCTAAGACAGTTGTTCATGTCCCTGAGACGTTGGACTTAAGTGTTCTGGTGTTTTATGGTTGTATCTACTGTAGATCCTGTTGCACTGAAGTCCAGCTCGTCCCAGAGAGATAAACAACTACAAAAACGTCATCTACTGAACATAGACCTACCTGAATATTTTCCAGGTGTTTTGATTATATAAATTAAATAAATTTGTCCATCTCCAGGCGAAGTAACAAACCTAGAAGACAAGATCAAGAAGCTACAGAAACACCAGGCCTTCACCGCCGAGCTGGCTGCGAACAGAGCTCGTCTGCAGGAAGTACAACTCCTCGCTGAACAGCTGCGACCTGATGCTGAGGTGGAGAAGCAGCTGCAGGAGCTACAGGCTGACTGGCAGAGGCTGGAGACTGCTACTGAACAACGAGGTTAGTAGATATAGAAGAATATAAATAGTGCCTCGTCTTCATCGTATCAACTGTAAGACGTTCAATGCTGAACATTGGGCTCCAGCGTTCTTCAATGATTTCTAGACAGACCGGCAAATAGTGCAATACAAACTATAAAATGTACTAATATTCAGCCATGCTGGCCCGGAGTGATACCACGGCCTCACAGAAAGCCGACGTGAACCAACGCTTGTGTTGTGTTTCGTCGTGTGAGTGAGGTTACCGGAGGCCCAATTATATTGTACTGTAACATGACAACAGAGTAGAATACATTTGTCACCGCTGCTACTCTTCCCGCGGATGTAGTATACCCGACTAAGGGACTACACATTAGACAGAGACCGGGCAGCAGCGCTCTCTGATAAACCTGAACCTTTTACACTCAGGTCTCCATTTATCTAGCGAAGAGATAGTAGGAAAATACATGTATGTATTTTATGCAAAGAAGACTGATAGTCCAGCTGTGGACACTCTGTCCGCTGCCTCCCCCAGTCCTCCTCCAATGACTCAACATCGCTAGGTTGGAAGCGACCTGCGTACAGCGATTGTCGCAGACCTGTATCAGGTCATCGTATGTACATATATCTAGCACTGGCGACCCACCCCCGGTTTCGAGCGGGTCCAATATGCATGTATTATACATATAAGCCAAAAAATCCTTAAGAATCACTCTATCTATTAAAAAAAAACGTAACAAATCTGTTGCGTAGTTTTAAAGATCTAAGCATACATAGGGACAGCCAGACGGCGGATAGCGACTTTGTTTTATACTATGTAGTGATGAACCTTTTTACCACCAGGACGAGGCCTAGAAGAAGCGCAAGACATCTTGGAATTCAACCAGCACTTAGACAAGATAGAAGCCTGGATTCGTGATAAAGAGATGATGGTCCAAGCTCACGAGCTGGGCCGGGACTACGAGCACTGCAGCGCGCTACTGAGGAAGCTGGACGACATGGACAGCGACATGAAGGTCGATGACAGAAGGGTCAAGAGCATTTGTGCCCTCGCTGACAAACTGCTGCAACAGGTACGACGATTGCCATACCTATTATTGGAAGCAAGTATAACAGTTGTCACATAGGACCCTAATTTAATATCATCTACAGCCTATAAATGCCCACTGCTGAGCAAAGCCTCTTCTCACATGGAGAAGGTTAGAGCGTTAATCACCACGCTTGCTCAATGCGGGTTGGCGATTTCAAACTTATAATTAGAAATTATAAGTCCAGGTTTCCTCACGATGTTTTTCCTTCACCGTTTGTCAGTGGTGTCTAAATAATCTTAGAAAGTACATATAACTCGGAAAAAGTCACATTGGTACTTGCCATTGGTAGGTTTCGAACCCGCACCCTCATGCATGAGAAGTGGGCGTCTTAAACCTCCGGGCCACCACACAATTTAATATAATTTTACCTTACTCAGGGCCCGACTCAACAAGCGGCCGCAGTTTCCCAGCGTCGCGACGCCTTCCTCGCAAAATGGCACGCCCTGTCCGGAGCCCTGCAGACATATAGAGATAACCTGTCTGCTGCATTAGAAATACACTCGTTTAACAGGTAAATTAATATCAAAAATTAGCTCGCTTACTCATATTCACTCACTTATTACTCACATTGTAGAAGACAGAGAGAAGAGAGAGTCGGCTTCCGAGGGATTTGGATAGGAATGTGAAAAAATAATCGATTATGGAAATAATCGATTAAAAATCGATTTTTATAATGTAGAAATCGATTTTTCAACGTGATTTTTAAAAAAATTATAATCGATTTATAATCGATTTTTTTATAATTATGCAATAAATGCGCCCCGATAATACGTTTGGTCTTCTGTTTCGGAGCCCGGAACGCGAACTTCCAAAGAACACTATCATAGCTCCATAACATTACATTAACGCCATATGTGCATCTATGATGGCATTCCTTCTGTGCTTTTGATACAGTTTAGTTGATATTCATTTAATCAT